CCAAGGGTCACCAGTCACTGGAGTTTAACTCTACCTAAATATTCAATTTATTAAATGAATTTTGTGAATTACTTATTCATAATTTCTTGCTAGTCCAGCGATTTGATAACACAATGAAATAAATATTGAATACATGCTTTTGGTATGGATATTGTAAGTTTCTTATTTAACTACATAAATAAGACTAATATTTATGCAAAAACACTTCAAAAGTGACTGCTAAAATCTACTGGGCACATAGGAAATATAAATAAGTTTTGGATTTTTAGCTCAGCAGATTTGAGGTTTAAAAATGTGTGCCCTTATAATTGAATAAGTTATAATTGATTATGATAGATTATAATTGAATAGTCTTTGGGATCCCCTATTTATGATCTATGTGACAGATAAGAAAGTGAAACATATGCAAGGTTATAATCATGGATGGTCAGTTTAAAATATAATTATATAAAGTCAGATGTCAGTCTTAATCCAGCAAACGGCATGTATTTTATATACTGAATACTGATCCCTTTTTGATTTTTTTCTGAAAAAGTAGCAGTTGAAGGAATTATGTGACATTTGGGAGAACATATAGGAAAAAGGTGAACTAATACTATCAGTATGCTACCGTAGAGATAATGGTAAATCTTAATTTTTCTGAATTCTTTTAAATCAAGGACAAAAATAGTATAATACACTCTTCTTGTGTATCCTTAGAAAATGTCTTTCATGAAAAGATAGTATATGGAAGAAAATGAGTTGTGCTCCTAACCACAAGTCAGCAATTTGAAGCCCGCTGTTACTCTTCCTGAGAAAGATGAAGCTTTCTACTACAGTAAAGAGTTAGTCTCAGAAATCCATATGGGCAACTGCTACTTTAACCTATAGAGTTGCTGTCAGTCAGAATTTATTCGATGGCTGTGAGTAGCAATGCTATCATATTCAACGCCTTACATGAAATCCTTGAAAATTAGTTATGTGAAGATAAAAATCATGATATGAATAATTTTTAAATGTTTTTATTTACTTTAGTAAAACCTCCATGCATTCAGGGGCACATTTTGTGTGTCTTTTATCATCACATGTTGTCAGATTCAACATAATAGAAGCAATAGACACTAAATTAATCAATAGGAATTCACTTTATAATTAGGGACATATAAAAAAACAATGATATGTATGGACTTCAGCTTTCACATGATCTTAGTTCTCAAAAATGAATAACTAGCTTTGGTGACGTGGCCCTGCCCAGTACTTTCCATTATGAGGAGATCACTGAAGATATGGGTGCCACAACAAAGTGTGCTGAAGGGATCAGAAGACAGCCGGTGTCTGACTATCATGAAAAAATTGTCTGGGGTCTTAAAACTTTGTCTCAAAGTAAGCAACCATCTAAGTCAGGAGTCAGCTAACTCCACAAAGAAGAAGGACATGACCTTGTGCAATCCAAGGATTATAAATAATAAGATACAAACCTGATAAAGGGAAGGCACCAGTGCATAAATTCTAAGCACTCAATTTGTAGAGTGCTATGGGTGGGGATGGTAGACCAAAATTCTTTTGCAGGATCCCTAAAGGGATTGAGTTCCTGGTGAGTGCTCAATGCCAATAGACTAGAAATGTGAACAGGCTGAGTACCAGACAAAAGGCACCATAAAGTGGGTTTTAACAGCTATCTTTAGGCTGGAGTGTAACACCTTGACATTAGTTCAAGATCTCTCTTTGGACCCATTGTGACTTTAGTCTAAATTTTTAACATTCTCTGACTTTTCTTAGATTGACGTCTTTCTCTCTTTTATATGGTCATTGTTGCTGGGGCCTGACTTGCCTTTTGCCCTTCTTTTGTGTGTTTGTCTGTACAAGGAAACAGGGATGGATGGATTTATGAAAACATCAGCTGGATTAAGGATTTCCTGGGTCACAAAGCAGGAGAGAGAACTGAGGAGTCAAGAAAAAGATTCAAAAGTTGTTTGTGGTGATGATGGCACAACCCTTCTTGATATGATTGAACTGTTGAATTGTATGATATGTGTATTATAAGTCAATTGAAAAATAGAAATTCACTTTAGAGATCTTAATAATAATTCCTGATTAAGTGGTACTGGGGAATAATGTTGGAAAATATGCCCTGAAAGGAAACTGATTGAATCACTCGTATCAAGACTGAAACATTTTCTTACATGAACCCAAGGCATCCTTACCGGTATTAGTAATCATTTTGTGGAACTTGACCTGACTTTCCCACCAAATTTTGGTCAGGAAATTTGTAAAACTATATAGAAACCATCATTTTATGAGAGTTAGTTAACATTATTTGAGTATACTGACTTTTTGCAGGTGAAGTCATACTATGTCAAATTGTCAAGGAAATGAAACTATATATATGTGTGTGTGTGTATATATATATATATATACATATATACTTCCAAATATGTGATGAAACTATATATATATAGTGTGTATATATATATATACTTCCAAATATGTCCAAAATATTGTTTATCCATTTTCCTCAAAAGCATTGTCATCAAGAAATCCCAATACAATATCCAAGGCTGTCAGTCTTTTTATTTTTAAAGAAATAATTGTATTGGTTGCTCTTACAGCTTCTATAATAATCCATACGCGACTTGTGTCAAGCACATTTGTACACATGTTGTCATCATCATTTTTCAAAACAGTTCTTTCTACTTTAACCCTTGGTATCAGTTCCTTTTTCATCAAAAAGCCTCCTGGGTGGAGTCAAACTGCTGATCTTCCAGTCAGTAGCCTCTAGAGCTCCCAAGGTGAAGAGGGCATGTCCAGACTTCAATTCATATAACTTTGGATATGTTACCAAAAGAGACCATTCCCCAGATAAAGGACATCATGATCGGTGAAGTGAAGAGTCGGCAAAAAAGACCTTGAACCATCTGGACTGAAACAATGACTCTAACAAAGGACTCAAACATAACAGTTGTGGGGATATTGCAGCACTGGGAAGTGTTTTGTTCTGTTGTACACAAGGTAGCTGTGAGTCGGAGCGGATTCAAAAACAGCTGACATTTAAGTAGACGTTTTCCTGTGAATTCCAATGAGGTTTATTTATTTCATTGTATTTCATTTTTTCCTACTGGTGGATTTAGTCTAAAAATTCTGAAGTTTCATCCACTCTTGAGAATAATACAGAAAATACTTGCAAACAACTAAAACGTTATTAATCATACAAAATCTAGGTTTGGTTATCCATTGATATAGTTCTTATGTAATAGTATTTCTTTGAAAATATTCCCATGTTCATTAATTTCACTCAGGAATAGAGTTAAATTGGAGGCTAAATTTACCCAAATAGATACACATAGCGTAAGAAAGGGTATGCAAATTTGAGAGTGTGTTATCTATTGCTTTAGAATACATTAAAATAGCAAGAGAAAAGCAATGCAAATTGTCAATTAAAATATTATAATTTTTCTTTGATGAATGGCTTTAAAATAGAAGAGAGATCATGAATTTGATACAATTTCTACAAGGCTGATACCATCACCTTTGAAATATATTTACATATGCTTAGTGTGATATTTTCTTTTTTTTTTTTTTTGAGACTGAACTACCTGTCCCTAGAGATTTAATTTCACAATTAATACCTATATCTAATTCCCACAGTCCCCAACCCTCTTGAAGAAGAAAAACATCCAAAAACAAACACACACAAAGCAAAATAAAAGTACCATAGGATGCATTTGTTTAGAAGGTGTCTCAAATTCTACAAAGAAATAATTGTAATTTACTTAGCCTTTTTTGATGAAAATTTTGTTCTTCTTTTTTAACTCACAAATGGTATCTCATGATATTAAAGGAAATGATAAACTTTGCAGGTAAGATACTATCTAGTAAAGAAATGTTAATAATCTGTTATTATTTTTCACAATAACAGAGAAATATCATGGCTGATATTAAAGGGCATTGATTGAATATGGGTACAAATCTTATAAAAAACACTGTTATTTCAAGTAATGCCTTCACTTTTTAAAGTGAGACAAACATTCTGGTTATAATGGAAGTCAAAATATCACTTAGCCTAAATTGTCAAAACTGTTGCTACCTAGAACTACATAAAACTATATCCAGGGAAAATTTGGGCAAATGATTGTGCAGTCATTCTATTTTGTCATATTGTGTTACAATGAATTGGAATCAGATGAACACACAACAGTAACAAGCTGTTAATTTAAGTTTCAAACCGTGTAAGGTTTGAAAGCATATTACTCAGCTGGGGCATGTGTTAACAAGGACACTATACATATTTGGTTGTATTGTATTTGTACCATTTACTGTACCAGTTTCATTTTATGTAGATAATTTAATATAATATTAGCCTTACAATTCATCTATATATGCATGATAAATTACTTATAACTACACCTTTAAATGGAATTCTAATATATCAGTACAGCAGCATTTAAAAAAATTAAGTTTAACTTTACTTAAAGATTCAATTTCATAAATGAATTATGTGAATTATTTATTCATAGTTGCTTGCTAATCTAGTGGCTTGATAGCATAATGAAATAAAATATTAAATGCATGCTTTCAATAGCGATATTGTAAGTCTTTTATTTAATTCCTTACTTGATGATTGTGCAGAGTAGGTTTAAGGGAGAGAAAATATGATCCTTGAGTTACATAATTATACAGAGAATCAGGGAGGCTTTGGAGAGCATATTGCATTGCATTTTATTGTGGTATGGTATCCATATAAGGAAACAATATATATTTTCAGAAGCCAGAGTCTGTGGATTTAACTAAGTAATTCAAAATCTTACAAGCTGGCTTCAATTCATATAAATGCTTTGAAAAACAAATTTGTTTTCAAGTAATGCCTTATTTTCCTCTTTTTTTTTTCAGTCATCCCATTTTCCATGCTAATTTCTCCCCACCTGTAAATATCCTCATTGACAAAACAACTTCTTCCTGTAAAGTTTTGGAGAGGCATATATCGACAACTAATACAAGGTTTAAACAAACTGTGTCTGTAACACATGATCAGAAAAAACGACACCTTATTGACTGAGTTCATCCTGTCAGGATTAGCAGACACCCTGGAGTTACAGATTATCCTATTTGTGCTCTTTTTAGTGGTTTACATATTTACAGTTCTGGGGAATTTGGGAATGATCATGCTCATCAGGATTGATTCTCGACTGCACACACCCATGTATTTCTTCCTGGCTAACTTGTCCTTTGTGGATGTTTGCTACTCATCCACTATCACCCCAAAGATGCTGGTAGATCTACTGTCTGAGAAGAAAAGCATCTCCTTTGCTGGTTGCTTCCTGCAGATGTATTTCTTTATCGCCCTGGCAACGACAGAGTGCATCCTCTTTGGCTTAATGGCTTACGACCGTTATGTGGCCATATGTAACCCCCTCCTTTACTCCTTAGCAATGCCCAGAGCAGTCTGTCTTAAAATGGCCACGGGAGCCTTTTCAGCTGGATTGCTGAACTCCATGGTTAACACAAGTTATGTGAGCAGTTTGCCATTCTGTGGCCCCAATATCATCCACCATTTCTTCTGCGATAGCCCCCCTCTTTTTAAGCTCTCTTGTTCTGACACACGCCTGAATGAAAGCATCTTTTCCACTTTTGCTGGTGTGAATATGGTCGGTTCTCTGCTGGTCATCCTCACGTCCTACTCTTACATCCTCTTCTCCATCTTCCGTATGCATTCCGGGGAGGGGAGGCACAAGGCACTCTCAACTTGTGCTTCCCACTTGACGGCTATCACTCTGTTCTTTGCAACATCCATCTATACTTATCTGAGACCCAGTTCTAGCTACGCCCTGAATCGGGACAAAGTGGCTTCTGTGTTCTACACAGTGGTGATCCCCATGTTGAATCCCCTGATCTACAGCCTCAGGAATAAGGAAGTAAAGGCGGCATTTTGGAATGTAATTACCAGGAAGAGAATCTCTTCATTTCTATGATTGTCTGGTTAATTTTTTGAAATAAGTAGAATATTTCATTATCATTCAGAAGCTAGATGAAACATATTGGTGTTCACCAGACTCATTCAAAGTAAACACGTTCTGTATATGCTGAAAGATCTATGTTTCCTTTTAGAAATCTGAAAAATTAAAATATGAACATAGGACCACGGAAACTTCACCTTATAATTAAACTCCACCCAGTCCTTAAAGATAGAGCTAATTTATAAGAAAATCTTGCTCATGGAAATTAAGGACGTAGGGGTTTACATGTTTATAGATGAAAATTATAGTATTAGATGACTAATCACCTAGAATAGTTTGGGCTATGCATTCATTTTCTCACATTTTAAGATAACTGCTTTTCACATGCCACATATTTTTTTAATGAGTCAGTGTTATCATGGATTTTCCTTTAAAAGTTTTAATATATCTCAAGGAGGGTTATGCTTGGATCAAACTTCAGGGCTATAGTTCTACTACAAGTCTGAATTTCCAAAAACTTTTTTATCATTCCATATACGTATATACACATCCATTCATTAAGGAATAAATATAAGTTTGTACAGAAATGTGAGATTGAGAATACTGCTGACTGAATAGAATGCACCAATAAGAGCACTCCTTCCATAGCTTATCCTTCTCCTCAAAGCCTTCTAATGCACTTTGTGTTTTTTTCTCTCTCCTGGACGACAACACAGAATCAGGTCCAAACACACCCAGACACTAAGAAGGTTTCAAGAAGCCCATAGCTCCAAAGGAGTTCAATATATATTCAGTGAATGAATATGATATGGATTCCTTCAAATTGCCTCATGACTTACCTTTGGTAGAATTATTTTCTCAATTTTCAATAAATATCTAAAATTTATCTATATATTAATATTAAGCATACTTCATCTACAAGTAAGCATTAAAAAGGTGCACTTACAATGTATGTTTTCAGCGATTCATATCCATGACTTAACTATTATAAAAGCAAATGCTCATATAATGTTATTTCTGGTGTGGAATTTGGAAATAGAAACAATTTGGAGATCAAATCTATTTTTTCTGATATTTAGAATATTATGAAATATTCCAACAACCAAACAAACATGCCAACAAATATAAACAAAATGCTCACTGCAATCAAAACTGCATTCTGACTGATAGAGTCCCAAGATGACAAGATCTAAACCCCCCTATGGGTTTCCAAGACTTTAAGTCTTTACAGGAGTGGAGAGCCGCTTCTGTCTCCTGTGGAACCACTGGCAGTTTTGAACTGCTCACTTTGCAGTGAGAAGCCTAAGGTATAACCCACCACGCTACCAGGGTTACACTTATTTTGACCTATCATTAGCTTTTAATTCAACTCTCCTCATCTAATGTATTGAATTTACAAGTTATACAAATACCATCAACTTCAGGAACAGTCACCACTAAATGATGTTGGCTCAATATTTATCAAAGGGCTGTGTGCCCTTGATGTATGGTTGATTCCTGCCCTGACTCATTATTCCTGTCTGTGTGGTCAGGTGCCATTGAGTCCCTTTAGACTGACTGTGATCACATCTCAAAGAGCAGAACCATCCTCTTAGGTTTTCTAGGCTGCAGATGTTTACGGAGCAAATCACTAGGTCTTTCTCTTAAGAAGCTGCTGGGGCCGTTCTAACCATCACTCTGTCCACCTGTAGCCACGTGCTTAATTGTGGCATTGCAACAGTTCATAATCATTTGTGGTAAAATAATTTTATTTTATAATTTTCTTGCCTATTGTTTAATACCTTTAATTGGAAAATCTTTTTGCCCCCTTTGCCTTTTTTATTTACCCTAAGCTCGAAGCTTTTAAAAGTGGTGCCACTCCTAATTATTATTTTGCATGTGATTTTCTTATCCTCATCTCACCTTAGCACTTGATAATATTTGCTAAACCCTCTTCTATGATATGTCTTTTGCTGCATTTGTACTGTTCTCTCTTTTTCGACTTTAACAACTTTTTCCTGACATGTGAATATTTGATGTTATTTTATTAGTAAAATATGTATAGGTGTTTATAAATGTTTCCTTAGCACATTTTTTTGAGTAATTCATATATTAAAATTCATTAAAGAAGGTTTGAAGTATTTGTCATTAGCCTTTGTCCTGCTCAATGTATTCATTCTTGATTAGAATTTGCAACTAAATTGACTGCTGAAATTTAGAAGCTCAACACATTAATACACAGTGGAAAAATTCCTTTCCTCAACACATGTAATGTTAATGTAGATTATACTAATTATCATAAATAATTTACCATATATATGCTTATGATCATATATATTGTGTATTTATGAGAGAGGAGAAAAACTTTACATTAGGGACCTATTTACATAACATGTGTACATCACAAATCTAGAAATGTAGAACATAAATGGGAAGGTATGCTTATGATTATTTTCCATTAGAGAGTTGCAAATCAAATCTACAATGAGATACCAATAATAACTTCACTCAAAAACAGCATATAAAAATATTGGAATGTTTAGAGGATGAATGAAATGCTTATACACTGCTGGTAGGAACATAAACTAATACTTCTATTATGGAAAATGATAAAGTACTTCTATTTAAAAAATTGAGAGAGATACAATATGGACCAGAAACAGGTTTATAGCCCAGAGAAACAAGAGCATGACGAAAACTAGTATATGCATAGTCATGTTCATCTCACAATTATCAATGATAGGAATATAGATAAGTCACCAAGCTGCCCATCCGCCGATGAGTGGATAAACAAATTATGGCACATATAAAAATAGAATACTACATACTATTAAAGAATAAATGTGGATTTCCTAAATCCCCCATAATATGTATGAACCTTGAGGACATTATGCCTAGTGAAATTACTAAATCACAAAAGAACAAATATTGTCCAAGACTAATATTTAAAAAACAACAAACGGTTCACACGGAGAAATATAATCTGATGATGGTCAGGCCCATGAAGGGGAGAGAGAAAATCAGTAACTAGAACAGACTTACACTAACTTGGGTGAAGGCAAAGGTCAAGTGCAACAAGGGGGAAGGAGAGCAGCACAGTATGAGCAGTGCAAGGAGACGCACAAGAGGAAATGGCTTCGATGATAAATAGTATTACACACACATTCCTCAACAACAGCATCATGTACAGTATATACATGGGAGCATAGCTAGACATACAAGCAGAACAGATGAAGGATGGTGAATGGGTGTATATCCATGCTCATATATACGTTTGACAGAGGGTATTTCTACATTCACACTTGCATGTGTTGCAAATGCATCCATGTAACAGGGGCCAAAGTATGATAAATTCTTTGCCATTAACAACACCTTGAATAGCTGAGTCACTGGACTTGCAGGCATAAGACCATAGGCTTGGGGAACATCTAGGTCAAGTGACATAATATAATCCAGAAATACAATGCTCTACATCCTACTATAGTGAGCAGCAAGTGGGGGCTTAAAAGCTGTCTAAAGCCATCTAAGCTATAGCTATGGAGCCCCTCTTACAGAGTTAAGAATAGTGAATAAAATCTAGGACTCAAGGAAACAATTAATTCAAAGGATTAATGAACTTCCTGAACCATAGCCTCCATGGGCCTGAGACCAGCAGCAGTGGATGGTTCCCAGTGGCCCTAACTGATCACTCTGACTGGAATCAAAATAGAAAATCCTGGATAGAGTGGGAGAAGACGTAGAACAAAATTCAAAATCATTCAAAGACCAGACGTACTGATCTGATAGAGCCTGGTGGAACCCCTGAGATTATGGCTCTTAGACCCTTTTCAGAATTTAAATAGAACCCAGGTTGGGTATTAACTTTCACCCAAACAAAAGACATCCTTAGAAAGGGAACAAAAGCATCCTGTGAAAAACATGCTTCTCAGGACAATAAATCATATGAGATCAAAAGGGTAGCTTTGCCTAAAACTAAAGTTCAGAAGGCATGAAGTGGCAGGAAAGAAGGAGAAAGCAAAAGCAGACACCCAGGCAGAAGGAGGAAGGATGCCGTTCTGTCAAGATCTCAAGCAATGCCCTAAAGCAAAGTGTGCATACATTCTCAAATGAGAAGCTAATTTGCTCTGCAAACTTTCACACAAAGCATAATGAAATATTCAAAACTAACTAAAGGAATAGGAAACAAGATTCATGCATCAAATGGACCTAAAGGATAAACCTGAAAAAAATCCTATTCATAAAGTGCTGTTTTAATTTACCTGGCTCAGACTGCCCTTTGTGAATATGGTCATAGCTTCAGGGATTTGTTGAGGGAAAAACGATGTTTAACATTGCTTATTGTTAACTTTTTTTTTATGGTTTATTGTTATTGTTTAACATCACATCTGCCTGAAACTGCAATACAACTGGAGGCAAACAAGAAATGGACTAAGCATACAAAAATCACAAATCTGATGACTCATAGCCCCATGGGGTTTTGAAAATTTCTGAAATGTTCCTTGAGACCTGTGAGATCCTGTGTGCATGTGTAGATCTGTGGGAAACATCTGAGAAAGCCTCAATCTTTCACATCAGGCTGATCTTCAGATTCTATACTATCATAAAATGAATATTTTTGCTAAAGTATCAAATACCACTGTATATTTGGTCAGTATTATGAATATCTTTGTATGGAGTTCTATTTATGAATCAGCAGTGGTTAAATTAGTAATATATCTAGATATTACAAAATTCCTAAATGTATTATATATTTTCCAAACTATATATAATATCTTCTTGACATCAACAAAATGACTAATTTTATTTTCTATTCAGAATTTTTCATGGTTTGCATTCTACTCATAGTAATTGATTTAAGCAGCCATCTGATACTATGACTAGAAGGCCAGCTCTGGTCTACGGCCTGTGCTTATATTACTCATGAGCTTAAAATGATTTTTGACATTTTAAAGGGTCATAAGAAACATACCAAGAAGACTGTTCAACAAATAGATTCAACATGAGTAATGATTCCCAGAGGATACGGAGAGTGGGGT